GAGGCAGTGTGGGACAGTGGGTAGAGCTGAGAGAGAGGCAGTGTGGGGCAGTGGGTAGAGTGAGAGAGAGGAGGGCATCTTTTAATGATGACATTGACATTCAAAAGCTAGTTGCAGTGTGTGAACATAAGAAAATAAATGTTTTAACAAAAAGAAGCCATCACGCCCATCTTGTTCAATTCAAATTTCTTGACAGGTTTTCAAGTTTTGCTCTTTTTTCTCTGTATTATTTTCTCATATTGCCCAACAACCCTCTCCCCTTCCGTTCTGCTATTGTTATCCCAGATTGCGCCCTGTCACTACCAAAGTTTAATATGAGGGTGTCTTGGAATTGCTGGTTAACACAGAAGCTGTGCAAGGAATTTTATTTCATTAATAATATTTTGATTCAATTCTAGCACTAGCAAGACAAAGTCTAATAGCTTGTAGCTTGCAGTCCTGACAGTGATCAATACAGGTTCAATTGCAGATGCTCTCCTTTCATGACTGGCACTGCACTGCACACACTGGCCTGTGGGCACTGGAGCTGCGTAGCACCCTGCTAAAAACCACAGGGTCACGTGTCTTCCTTCTGACAATCCTTAAGACAGGGTTCATTTAAAAAAAAATTCAGATGAACTCAGGCTGCACCGTTATAAAATAATGGATCAAACTGGCAAAAGGTGCAAAAACGTGTTTGCACGCACACATACCCAGCAACTCCCTAGTGGGAAACCCACTGGAGCTCAGCACTGTGAGCCTGGCCAGTACCTGGGAAAGAGAAGGCTGCTGCTGGAAGAGGTGTTATTGGGTCCAGCAGGGGGCGCAGTCTGTTTGGGTCCTGAAGCCCCAGTATATAAATGGAGTCACAAAACTTTAAAAAAAACATGCCGTCCTTTAGATGAGATATAAAATCGAGGTCTTGACTCTCTGTGGTCATTAAAAATCCTAGGGTGTTTCTCGAAAAGAGTAGGGGTATTACCCCAGTGTCCCAGCAGGCACATTTCCCCCTGGCCTTTACCAGTCATGGCCTCCTAACAACCCCCCTCTCTGAACTGGCTTCATCACTCTGATGGTGAGAGCTGAGAGCTGGTTTGTGTGGATCAGACTGGTGCACTCTGGCTGCCATCACATCATCCACGGGGGGTTACACACTGCTGGTGAGGGAGGGGGGTCCCCATAACCTGTAAAGCGCTTTAGGCGTAATAATAATAATAATAATAATAATAATAATAATAATAATAATAATTTAACACAGACAGTCTCTTTGGGACTAGAGGAGGCAACTGGAACACATAGTAAAAACCAGAGAGAAGATGGAAACTCCACACAGAAGGTACCTCAGTCCAGAATTTAACCAGAGCTGTGAGACAGAGGACAGCAGAGCTCGCGATCACAGCCCCACTCCACTCAAGTGAAACATCGCCAAATAACTACCATCTGAACTGAGGCTAAAGCTGCTGAAAAGGCACGAAACAACTTCTCCCGGTGGCCGAGCCCTACACAGAACTTTTATTCCACGTGGGATCCTGAGCTCTCGCCTCCTTTCCCAGATTAGCAGGGAAGCTTGCATCTGTAGCCGTGTGTCTGCTCCTTTAATGCAGCTGCATCTGTCCCAGTCCGCCTTAAACAGCTCCGCGTGTGCCTGCCAGGGCCTCCCCCTCCTCGCCCCACAGCACACTGCCTCGCCGCGCTCTTAAGGTGGTCCGGGAAAGATAGCTGAGCAGTGCCCTGGGGCTGCACAGCTGAGGTGCCCACTCCGGCCAGGAGGGGGTTAACTCCCACACTCTCCACGCACCCCCACTGTGACCCCGTGACTGCAGTCCCAGGCCTGGGAGAGAGCGTGCTCCCGGCCCGGGACTGTCAGGAGGGAGCCCCCCTGCAGTCCGGAGGCGTGCCGTGTGTCCCACGAGAGACCAGCGTGTGCCTTCCTCCTCTCCACGAGCGCGCTCGCTGGCGGGACCGGGGCACCACACAAGCCACGAGGAGGAGATCGAAAGTGTTTTAAAAATAAAGGTGGCTCAGAAGTGAAAGTGCGCGTGGGGCTTCGACCCAGCTCCAGGGGCTCCAGGACCATGGGCTGATGATCAGGGGATCCCTCATGACCCCAGATCTCTCGGGGCTCCAGGGGCTCCGGCAGGGGGCGATGTTCTCCAGGAACGCGCCGGTCACAGGCTCCTGCGTCTCGTGGACGTCTGGGAATCTGTCTGCACGGCCATCATCCCACGGCCCCGGGATCCCAATCCATTCCCCCGCCAGGACCTGCAGCCACTGTGTCCCAGCCGAGGCAGCCGGAACCAGGCCCGGCCCAGCCCGTTCCACCTGCGACAGGGGCAAGACTGACCAGCAGGCACCCAGACCACTGGACTCCCTCTGGACAACACCAGGTCCACTGGACTCCCCTGCGCCCAGGTGTTTTGGGCAGCAGTTCACTTTACGGGACTGCGGATCGCTGACACAGCGGAACGGCCTCCTGCAGTTCGTCCCCTCAGCAGCTCAGCCCACAACTCAGGGGGTTCTGCCCCCCTGTAACTACTGGTCACTCTGGGGTCCGTGTTTGAGCCCCAGGGCCACACCAGGAGGCTGCGGGACTGTGCGCGCCCCTCCCCCCCACCTGCCAGGTGCGCCCACAGGCACGGTGCGCTCTCCCCACTGCCCCATTCTGCTCACAAGCCTGAGACACCCATCTCACAAAACCACCGAGCCCGTCGGTTTAGCAAACGTTTTTATTTCAAAGAGCGGTCACATTCCTGGCGTTCACGCGGTAGAAAAGCTTCACACTCCTGGCAGGAAGTCGAGGAGAAGACGGGAGACAGTTTGGCTTCACCTGCCCCACCCCAACACCACAGACGCAGCCCCCTCTCTACCCCTGGCCTCGAGCGGCTGCCAAGGGGGATTCTGGGATATAGAATGTCCTGCTCCGCAGCTGGACAGACCTCCAATTAGATTTTCCCTGGATCCTCCTTCAGAGTGACTGTCCTGTTGAACACCAGCTGGAGAGAAGGAAGGAAGGGGAGAGAATCAATGGTGAGAGGTACCGAGGAGGTATGAGACGAGATTTCTCTAAGGAAACCAGGGAATCAGCTTTGATAACATGGCTAAGTAGCGTGTTCCCCACTCCTACCACCCTCTGTGTAAATACATGTCTCATGTTCACATAGTTTCCACTTAGTTTGTGTTTCAGGACAAGGATAGGAAGGGGTTTAACAGTGTGGATAGGAATAGGCGATTGGGGGGAGAGAGAGAGACTGGGTCACAGGTAATAAAGTAGGGAGAAAGAGGGAGAAAGTGGGAGAAAAAGAGCAAAGTAGAAGAAGAGGCAGAGGCAGACGGAACTGGGGATGAATCTTAGGGTGGATGTGCTTGTTGGCACTTCTGTGTAATACACAGCACTTCCTGAAGAAAGTTCACATCCTGACGGCTTCCCGCTACCTCTGCCCAGTGCTGATTGGCTGTACAGGCTGTTAAGGCCAACTGTCCCCAGCGCTGATTGGCTATCCATCCATCCCTTCCTTAACTGCTGACTGGCTGCTCATCTGCGTGCTGAGAGGTGTTCTGCTTACCTTCCCTGGCGCACTGTCGGGGTCCACTGAGAAGTACCCAACGCGCTCAAACTGGAACTTGTCAAAGACTTTGGCCCCGCCCACCGAGCGGTCCACCAAGGCGTTGCTGATCACCTGCAGAGAGTTCTGGGAGAACAGAAGCACTCTGGGTCAGGCAAGGTATAGAGGGAGAAGGAGTGGTCATTGCTTGAATTGTTCTCCAATACTGGAGTCTGGAGGACTAAGGAACTAAGGAATCTGGACTGGGCTATACAGTGGCTACACTGGACCGGGCTGTACCGGGACACTCACGGGGTTGACGTCACTCAGGAAGCCGGCTGGTACCTCCGAGGTGTCCTCAGGGTTTTTGTGCAGGAAGCTGTACGCACACAGAAGTTTAGACACGGATTAGCTGAGAGACACGAACTGAGAATTCGGAATTTTCCGACTGTGCGACATATCTCCTCCTCATTCCCTCCCAGCCTCTGTCCCGAGTGCAGACTCACAGGCGGTCGTAGAGCCGGATCTCGCAGGGCAGGGGCTCGCTGACCCAGTGGATGAAGGCCTTGGGCTTCTCTGCTGCATCGGTCTTAGTGCAGGTGACCTCCAGCTCCACCACTGAGCCACTGGCGTCCTGAGAGAGAGAGTCAGGGAGGGAGAGAGAGAGAGAGGAGAGAGGGTGAGGGTCAGGGAGTGACAGAGGGAGAGGGAGACACCAAACTAGCTGCTCTGCAGAATTCTCTGAAAGTCTGTGGTCATCCTCCCTGTTTCTCCCTCTCTTGTGCCTCCCGTCCCTCTCCTGCTTCCCCAAGCTCACCTTGATGACCTGCTGCACGGAGATGATGTACCCAGCATGCCTCAGGCCCACAGGCTGCTCGGGGGTCAGGCGCTTGTAGCCCTTCTCCATCACCTGCAGGGGGCGGCAAAGGCCAACAACAACATCGGACTGGAAGTACTGGCAGTTTGTGTGCAGTTCCGTCAGTGCGTTTGTGTGTGCGTCAGTGTGTGCACTCGTGTCACTGTGTGTGTGTCTGTGCGTGCGTCAGTGTGTGCGTGCGCTCTTGTAAGCGGGTGCCCCGCTGTCTCTGACCTCGCGGAAGTCACTGCGCTCGATGAACACGGTGCTGGAGAAGGGCACGCTGTGGCTGCCCAGAGACTCATCCGCCGGGAAATTGGGAACACGGACTTCCACCTGCACGGAGAGAGGAGGCACAGCTACTCCCTTATCCCAGTCAACTCCTACTCACACCCATCCACAACAGGCTAGAACACCACAGAGAGGACCTGCTGGCCCCACGTTTCTCCCAGCAGGCCTGTTACTGGGAGGAGGAACAGGTGGGCCCCCTGTCTGTCTGCAGGCGGGGCCGCAGGTGGGCCCCCTGTCTGTCTGCAGGCGGGGCCGCCGGGCCGAGGCCCTACCTGTGTGTCGGGCGGCAGGTTGGTGATGGTGACGCGGAGGGGCTCGAGGACGGCCATGACCCGGGGGGCGCAGTCGTTCAGGACCTCCCGAGCGCACGCCTCCAGCAGGTGCGGCTCCATCGTCGTCTGGGCCACCGTCACGCCCACCTGCCGGGACAACAGCATCAGCAACGTCCCAGCCGCCACGGGCCCAACCTCACGGGCCTCCCCGCCCCCTCGTACCCGAGCACAGAAGTTGTTGATGGCCTCGGGTGGGAATCCCCTCCTCCTCAGAGCAGTCAGCGTGAAGAGACGAGGGTCGTCCCAGTCCCTGCGCAACAAGACAGCACCGTCACGCTCTGCTGGGCCGTGACCGCGCCCCCACACGGCGGGTCTGGAGGCTCCTGGTTCGAACCCGGGCTCTGCCCCTCGAGCTGCTTCCCAGCTCCTTGCATCACAGGAGACGTGGGGCCAGAGGTCCGGCCCCCAGTTACCGTGCTCTTATCTGGAGCATCGAGGTGAGCCCCAGGTTTGCTGAGCCCTGGCTGAGCCCCAGGTGAGCTTCGTGCGAGCCCCAGGTGTGCTTCGTGCTGAGCCCCAGGTGTGCTGAGCCCCAGGTGTGCTTCGTGCGAGCCCCAGGTGTGCTGAGCCCTGGCTGAGCCCCAGGTGAGCTTCGTGCGAGCCCCAGGTG